AATGATCGAGAAGTTGCATCCTTCGTGGAATGATTTCAAGAATTATCTAAAGCACAAGCGTAAAGAAATGAAGCTTGAAGATCTTGTGATTCATCTCAAGATTGAGGAAGATAACAGAAATGCCGAAAAGAAGTCGCGTAAGAGTTCAACAATTATTGGAGTTAATATTGTTGAAGAAGCTCCTACCAAAGACAAAAAGAGAAAGAAGTCCAACGGGCAGAAGTCAGAACAGGCCAAGAAGAAATTCAAAGGCAACTGTTATAATTGTGGCAAGGCTGTTCATAGATCTTCTGATTGTCATGCTCCAAGAAAGGACAAAAACAAAGGCAAAGGCAAAAGTCAAGCAAACATCGTGGAAAAGATGGAAGATGCAGACGACTTGTGTGCAATGATATCAGAATGTAACTTAGTTGGAAATCCCAAGGAGTGGTTTCTCGACTCAGGTGCTACTAGACATATTTGCTCTGCAAAAGAAGCCTTTGCAACATACACTCCTGTTGAGTACGATGAAGATTTATTCATGGGAAACACAGCAACAGCAAGGATTGCAGGAACTGGGAAAGTTATGTTGAAAATGACATCCGGCAAAGTGTTGACTTTAAACAATGTTCTGCATGTCCATACAATTAGGAAGAATTTAGTTTCTGTTGCACTACTCGTTAAGAATGGGTTTAAGTGTGTCCTAGTTAGTGATAAAGCTGTAATAAGTAATAATGAAATGTTTATAGGAAAGGACTACCTCAATGAGGGTCTTTTCAAACTAAATGTAATGGTTATTGACAATATTAATAAAAATTCTGCTTCTGTTTACTTATTGGAGTTAAGTGATTTATGGCATGCCTGTTTGGGACATGTAAATTACAAAGCCTTGCGAAAATTGGTTAATCTAGAAGTATTGCCTGATTTTAAATGCGATAAGTCGAAATGTGAAATTTGTGTGGAAAGTAAGTTTGTTAAACATCCTTACAAGTCTGTTGAAAAAAAATATAAAACTTTAGACTTAGTTCACACAGATATATGCGATATGAAGTCAACAACATCTCGTGGTGGGAAAAAGTATTTTATAACTTTTATTGATGACTGCACTCGATTTTGTTATGTATATTTGCTTAATAGTAAGGATGAAACAATTGATGCATTTAAGCAATACAAAAATGAAGTGGAAAACCAATTGAATCTAAAGATAAAAATGATTCGGAGTGATAGGGATGGAGAATATGAATCTCCTTTTGCAGAGATATGTTTGGAATATGGTATTATTCATCAAACTACTGCACCTTATACACCACAGTCAAATGGTTTGGCAGAACGGAAGAACAGAATATTAAAGGAAATGATGAATGCCTTAATGATCAATTCTGGTTCACCGCGAAATCTTTGGGGGGAAGTCATCCTTACAGCTAATAAAATACTCAATAGAGTACCCCATCGAAAAACACAATCAATTCCATATGAGTTGTGGAAAGGAAGAAAACCCAACTTGAAATATTTCAAAGTGTGGGGGTGTTTAGCCAAGGTAGAGGTTCCTTTACCTAAGAGGGTTAAAATTGGACCCAAACAATAGATTGTGTCTTTATTGGGTATGCTGTGAATAGTAAAACCTGTCGATTTTTGGTTCACAAATCTGATAATCCTGGGCCAAAAATTATTTTCAATAAATTAGTTGATACCAGAATTTAACCGAAATGTTTTCAACTCTTTAGTTAACCCGACCCGACTACTCGGATCCGCGCGAGTGACCCGTTTTAAATTCCGTTATATTCAAAATTTCCCGCCATGACTATTCTGAAAGGTTGCAACTTTCAGGAACAGTCAATACCATTTGAAAGTTTGCAACCTTTCATTAATGGTCGTGTCAATTCTGAAAGGTAGCAACCTTTCAGAATATATTATTCTTGCCTATAAATACCATTCAGTCTTCAGAATATTTCCTAACGAATTTTCTGATCTTCCTTCTTCTTAAAAACACATATATTTCTTCGTGTACTTTCCTGCTGTGGATTGATTCGCTGACAGTAGAGTTTTTGGTATCTATACTCTACTGATTAAGATCATTTTACCCTGGGAGGTTATATTCCAAATCAAACCTCGGATACTAGAGGGGAATAATTTCCTTAAGGGGACACTGTGAATTCAGTGGACTTGATTTTCTTCCTGAATTTTTCAAAAAAGAGTATTCCAGATTCTGGTAAGTTTTACAGATTAAAATATTTTTTACAAATAAATTTATGTTCATCTTATTTACTGGTTCTAAAAATCTCAGTTACTTCGTGTTTCTGAATAATTTATTACAACCAGCAATTTCTGTTTTTCTTAACACAGATTGGCAACATATAATGCATATATATATATATATCATAACTAGTAGAATTTTGAAAAAAGAATAATTAACCAATAATAAATAATATTTTTGAAATCTGTCCAATTAATTTTGTTTAAACAAGTCATGTGATCATATAAGGGTCCACAAAAATTGGAGGTGGTGATCAGAAATGTACGAGAAAGAGTTGTGTTTATACAATCAACATCCTTAGAACAATGTTAGAGAAATTGTAAGTATGGCCAGTAATTCAACATATAAGGCAAAGGTGACATTTATTTCTTTTCCGAAACCTACTACCTTGTTACCGTTATTCTCCTATTACACCTCCAGAACCTTTAGTCTTGGTATCATAATCATATAATCCAACAATATTTGGTTTTACACCTTTGTTTAGGGTATGTTTTAATTTTCAGCAGCAATAATGAAAAGGGACGGGGAAATATGATCACCTTGTTTGAGCCCTCGAGTGGAAGTGAAAAAAACATTTCTAGTACAATTTATAATAAAGGAATACCAAACATCAGAGATACTTGTAATGCCTCGAGGATATCCCTTGGACGTAATAGGAGATCTAGGATCACGAGCGATCCCAGGTTTCTCAAGCTAACTTTGAGCCTGACATATATCAAGCTATAAGACTAAGATAAGCAGAAGCATCACTAATAAATTAGTCAAAACTAACGGATTCCAAATGAAAATATATCTGAATATCTAGAGGAAATCAAACAATCCCAAAACACTTAACACTGCCTCCAAATTTGAATCTACTACTATTCTTAAAACTCTGTAACTGAAATGAGTTGTTGGAACATGCCCCTAACTAACTCTAACCAAACTGAAAACTTAAAGTAAACACTAAAATAAAAGGAATGTCTATTGTCCTTGAAGTATAAGCTCATCATTGAAGCTACTGAAGTTGAATCGAGAATCAATTTAAGCATGATTGGATATTGAGTGTCTGAACCTGCATCATGAAACGATGTAGCACAAAGTATGCATCAATACTTAGAATGTACTGAGCATGCAGGATATAGATATGTTAAGTTGCACAAAGTATATAAACTGAATAATCCATAATTGAGCAATGATATAATCTAAACAAGGGCATAGATATGTATTGAAGTATATCGCAAAACTGAACTGAATGCAATTATCAAGTACTAATCATGAAGATAACATGTTGAACTGTATACTGATGTAAATGTTGAAAACCTGGTCAATGCACTAAGAGTCTGGTTATGGGGAGCTACTATTAATCGACTTAAACCACGTGAGCTAAACGTGAAATCCGATGTATACGCCTCATCGAGAGAATTCAATAACATTCCATGGGTATAAAAGCATGATTGTGGCGTGATCACTAAAATCTGATGCCTAACAGAGGGGACTCTGAACCTATGTTGGCACGTAATTTTAAGACTTTGGGGGTATGCTGAAACTCTTGTCCAACTCGATGCTAAGTCTACTTCCAACTTGAATATTTTTTAAGCTAAGATGTACTTAATACTGAATAGCTCAAAAGTTGATATGCTAACTGAAAGTGCAATATTTATATACTGAGAATATAGAATTCGAAATCGAAAGCATGAATTTATGTCTGGTTAGCTAAGCAAGTATAATTCATGAACTAGATAATATATATGTGAAAGTAGTTGGTGTTTTTATCACCGAGTTTTTTGTTCAACCATCTAATCTACTCTGCATAGCCTTTATTTAGATCGGATCGGACTCACCTTGTTATTATGCAATAGTGTAAAAAGATTTGCACTTTTTAAAAGATTTTAAAATTATATGTAAGTAATTCTAATAATAAGCTAGCCTAGACTTATAGTGTTGACTTAAGCAACCAAATAACAAATTATAAATAGGTCCATCCTATTAGCATAACTTAAACCCACAAATTAAGCTTGAAAAAAAGCAAACAAGCAATGGCTGCTTCTTCTGCTAATAAGTGTCGTCCCTTGGCTAATTTTCACCCAACTGTTTGGGGATATCATTTCCTTTCTTATACTCATGTCAGTCTTTTTTTCTTTTTTCCACGTTAATTGTTTTAAGGCGTAACATAATATTTGATTAACTAACATATGATGAGTATTTTTTGCATGCAGGAAATTACTAACCAAGAAAAAGTTGAAGTTGATGAGTACAAAGAGACAATTAGAATTAAAATAATTAAAGGTATTAATTAAAGTAAAATATAGTTAAAAAATTAATTAATAAAGAAAAGAAAACAAAAATATATATTTTATGACATGATGTTAATGTAGCGTTGATGTGGCAGCGGGTGTAATACACCACATAATGTGAGAGTGATGTTAGTATACGTCTCAGGGGATAATAAAATCACTTTTGAATAGTAAAGGTGTGTAATAGGTCATGGTGATAGTTCAAGTCAGTACAGAGTAGTAAAGGTGTGTAATGGGTCATGATGATAGTTCAAGTCGGTAATAGAATAGTAAAAGTGTGTAATGGGTCATTATGATATTTCAAGCGTGTTACTGACTTTTCGGCTAAGTTCGGGGGAAATTTGTGTCTTTTCTCATACATATATTATGAGAAAGATTAATAACTACTATCTAGACAAGAAAATTACACCATCAATTTATTTTTAAAAACAATCATTTCTCTTAATTGAATTATGAGAACAATCCCCATTGATGAGTGTGAAAAACATATCTTGACATTGTTATTTGTGAAATGCTACACAACAATTAATTTGTGCAAGACGTAAAAATAAAGTTACAAGTACCTTGTAATTGATTTTGACACTTTAATTTTAGATGGGACATTAGTGTTATTGATTCACTACCACCATATATGAGACCTGCTTATCAATCTCTTATAGACATTTACAATGAAATGGAAAGATTATTGGCAAAAGAAGGTAACTCTTACCGTTTATACTATGGCACTACGCAAAATATGAGGTAATTAATATATATTCATTAACTTATATTAAAATTAATCATCACTCTCATTCCAAAAGACGACTAAATAGTACTTCTATCGTATTATTTATTTTTTACAATAACTATTTAGATGAAAAAGTTGATGAGAGCCTATTTTGAGGAAGCTCAATGGTTGGATGCTGGCTATACTCCAAAACTTGATCAATATGGATGAATATATAAGCCAAGAGACATTTGAATGGATGATAAATGAACCTTTGATAGTTCGTGCAGCATCGATTATTAACAAACGAATGGACGATATGAATTGAACATGAAGTAATAAAACAATATCTTATATAATACATAATTTCTTTTCTTTCTAATAATTGTAGCTACTTATTGTATATATATACGTGCGAAATAAAAGTAGAAAGCTATGTAACCTTTCTATACGAAGGGTTTATGTATACTCGATATATATATTATGTGTATGTAGAGGTCTATGCAAACCTTCAAGTTGAAGTAATAAAATGTTTTAAAATTTTCGCTAAAAATCGACTTATGAATGTGATGATGTAAGCTAAGAGGCTAGTCTTAATCCTCTAAGAGGACGCCGATGCCGGTTACATCTATGGGTAAACCCGGACGTGACACAAAGATATCTAAAATTTCTTGTTGACAATATTAAATCATGTGTTCTTATGAAAAAGTTACGTAAAAATTCTTAAACACCTTTGATAACTATAGAGAAAAAAACGTAATGTGAAAAAGTCTTAAACGCTATTGATAGCCATAAAGAAACTGAATTGTATACTTATTAGGAAAAATAAATTTGTTAGCTTGTACATCCACTACAAAGAATATATTCTACTCTATAAAGTTGACAATTAACAATTGATATTTTCTAATTAACTACATGTGTCTATCCATATCCCTAACAACTTCTACCAAAACATCTAGCTAAAATGTCCACTGTGCCCTCAACATCTGCTTCAATTTATTTCTATTTTATTATTTCTACTTAATCTTACCAAAAAGATATATATTTTTAGCGAGAATAAATATGCACTTTAACAGCAACCATTTTAAAAAATTCAAATCTATCTTTCTTGTTGATTTGCAGGAGCTGGTGTTTTTTTAATTATAGCTAGCTAATATTTAAGAAAATTAAATTTGAATTATTAATTAAACAAGTGGACAGGTGTTGCTTATTGAAGAGTGCAGTGGGGAAATGGAGGGGATCTTCACTAGAGGAAAAATTTAATGCTAAAGTATTGTAAAAACCTAGGGGGGAGGGGAGGGGTTGAAAATTACATGTCTACACTATGCAATAGTGTAAAAAAAGCAGTTTTCTTGTTGATTTCGAGGAGTTAGTCATGCTTTTAATTATAATTAGACTAATATTTAAGGAGATTAAATTTAAACCATTAAGACTATCACCAATTCACCGTTATTTTTTTCTATAATGGAGAGTAAAATAGAAAATGAGTTCTCCAATCACTATACTCAGACATTACTAAGGCATATTTGGATTTGTATCTATGTTAAAGATTTATCAATAATGCACCTACTAGAATATAATATTTATCTATAGATAGGGGTGTATATGACCGGGTTGGTTTAGATTTTTCAAATATTAAACCAAATCATTCGTGTAAAATTTTAAAATTATAAATCAAATCAAACCAATAAAGTTTTGATTTTTTCAGTTTTTCAATCTCGGGTTGATTCGGGTTTTTCAAATACCAAACCAAATCATTGTGTTGAATTTTAAATTTTATCAAATCAAACTAATAAACTTCGGGGTTTCCAGATTTAGATTTTTCGGTAAAGCTTGCATACAAACATATTATTAACTTGTGCTCCAAATATTTCTTATTACAACCAAAATACAATTATCTAAGGTGTTTCTTAAAAAAGTAACACAAAATATGAGATGAGTATTGATGATACAAAAATATTCAATAAAAGATAATGATGAAATCATCGTATAAAACAAATATTGTAAAGTCATAATGAAAATAATCATAATTTAAAATACTAAATCATGCTTAAATAAGTTTAATAAGTAATAGTTACAATAAAAAGTTAAATTAGATTATGTATTTATTTGTCTAATCCAATGTAATTCTAAAGAACAAATATTCAATATTATTGTCATTCTTAGTGTTGAATTGATTTTCTTTGTGCATTAGTATTAATTTGATTTTGATTTAAGTTTTATTATAATTATCAACGTTTATGAACTATAATCTTTATTGGACATTCCCAATTCTAAGTTTTAAACTTGAACTAATACATTAAAAGATCAAAACTATGAAATAGTAAAAGAAATATTTTAAAATGATTTCAAAGTAAATATTTTTATGTATGAAATAAATTTTTAAAATTACATATATAATGTCGGGTTGGTTTGATTTCGCGTTTTTTTGTTTGTTTGTTTAAATCAACCCAATTCAAATATAGTTGAGTTTTTTTTCCTATACCAAACTACTAGTCGAAATTTTCTTTTTGATTTACGGTTCAGTTCAATTTTCTACATCCCTATCTACAGACCATAACTAGTAGGACTTTTTGAAAAAGAGAATGAGTAATCAATAATAAATTATGTTTTTGAAATCCAATTAAACTAGTTTAAATAACTCATGTGATAATGTAAAGATCCACATAAATTGAAGGAAGGGGGGAGGGGGGAGGTATTTAAGACGTACGAGAAAGAATTGTGGTTATACAATCACCATATTTAATTAGGACAATTTTGAAAAAGCATAAATATGTGGCCAGTAATTCAACATATAAGGCAGAGGTGACATTTATTTCTTTTGCAAAACCTACTACCTTGTTACCTTTGCTGTCTCTTATTACACCTCCAGAACCTTTAGTCTTGGTATTATAATCATATCATCCAATGATATTTAGTTTTCTTCTTTTGTTTATGGTATGTTTTGATTTTCAGCAGCAATAATGAAAAGGGACGGCGAAATAGGATGATCTTGTTTGATCCCCCAAGTGGAAGCTAAGTGAAAAAAAAACCATGTCTAGTACCAATTATAATGATGGAATACCAAACATAAGCGATAGTTGACACGCTCCAAGGCTATCCCTAGACGTAATAGGAGACTCAGGATCACGAGTGACTTCAAGTTAACGTTGAGTCTAGTATATATCAAGCATGTTGATAATATAACTAAGATAAGAAGAAGCATAACTAATAAACGACTCAAAACTAAAGGACTCCAAATGAAAATATATCTTAATATCTGGAGGAGACAATCTCATAACACTTAACACTGACTATAAGTCTGAATTTGCTGCTATGTGTGAAAAGCCTCTAAGTGAAATGAGTTTTTGAGACATGCCCCCAAGCTAATTCTAATGAAACTGAAAGTAAAGACTAAAACAAAAAGCATGTCTAGTGTCCTCAAAGTATGAGGGCTTACCACTAGTGAAATCTCATATACCTAATGATGAAATTTACGGATAAGTCCTTTGAATTTCGGGGTTGAACTTTGAAGAACACCTCTACTTGTTCTTGAAAGGAACTAGCGACTTCTTCTTTTCTTTTCACTCTAAGTTGGGTGATTTTAAGAGAATGATGGTTTTGGATGGGTTGTGACTAGACTGAGTAAAACTACATAGTTTTGACATCACACGATGTAGTTTAAGTGTCTAATGCACAGACCCTGATGTAGTTTATAAACAAGTCATCCTATTAAGCACAACACTATATGCAATAGTGTAAAAAAATTGCACTATACTCTTGTGAACCCTTTTGTGTTTCTACACCTGTGAAGAGTCTATTCTAGTTGAGCTAATATCGTGATTGTGTTATTTTCATCAATCACAAAAACATCGTGGTTGATTTAATTGAGTTAGACATGATATATTTTGAAGTCATTTTAGGTATGGACTGGTTTCATGCCTTTTATGTCTCCATTGATTGTAGAACTCAGGTTGTCAAGTTTCAGTAAGGAATCTTATGTGAAAACTTAATCAGTAAGGAAGTTTTAAACTCAACTTTGTGCTAGGGGATTCTTGTACCTTAATTCATATCCAAATTTATTCAAACATTAAAGAATTGATCTTTACACACATGAACAATTTAACAATCACCCAAATAAGACTTTATATGTAAATAAAGAATGATTTATGCCTTAGCTTAGAAATATCCAGAGTATTACATGAATACAAGTGGTGTAAAATTTTTAAATATATGTGATAGAAGATAGAATGAATATTAATGAAAAAGTTTTGAATATAGGTGATTCAAGAGATATAGAATACAAATGATATGTTTATTTCCCAAAATTAATGGGCATGTATGAACAACCACAACAATAACATATTCAGTGTAATTTTATAAATAAAACTTAGAGAAGATAAATACATTTTAAATCTTTGTGAAATAGAAAACTTATTTTCGACTACTTGTAGTAAAATCATGGTAATTAATGGGCTTAATTAACGTCAAACATGCTACATTTGATGAATCAAGTAATAAGTGCATGCATTTATAGACTTGGAAATGGGAGAGAGATAAATAGAGCACGCTTCTATATTTGAGCAACCAAAGACACCTAAAATTTCTTGTTACAAAATTAAATCACGTATTATTACATTATTGGGAAAAAAAACTATATAAAGAATTTTAAACACCATAGATAACCATAGAGAAAAAACACAATGTAAAAAAGTCTTAAACACTATTGATAGCCATAGAGAAACTGAATTGTATACTTGTTGGGAAAAATAAATTAGTTAGCTTGAACATCCACCACAAAAAATATATATATCCTTCTCTATAAAGCTGAAAATTAACAATTGATATTTTCTAATTAACTACAAGTGTATATCCCTAACAATTTCTACCAAAATATCTTGCTAGTATTGTCCACTTTTCCCTCAACATCTGCTTCAAACTTATTACTATTTTGTCATTCCCACTTTAGTCTCAGAAAGATAACTACTTTTAGCGACAATAAATATGCACACTAATTAATATTGTATTTACTAGAATATGAATTTATCTATAGACCATAACTAGTAGGATTTTTGAAAAAAAGAATAAGTAATCAATAATAAATTATATTTTTAAAATCTATCCAATTAAACTAGTTTAAACAAGTCATGTGATAATGTAAGGATCCACATAAATCGAATGGCAATTAAAGATGTATGGGAAAGAGCTGTGGTTATACATTAATCAACATCCTTAGGAAATATTTGAGAAAGCATAAATAAGTGGCTAGTAATTTTCAACATATTGTTGGATTTTATTTGCCCTAAATTTCTTACCATAAATAGGTTTTCCTTTTAAGAAAAAGTTTTGGATTGACTAATTATTTTTCTGGTAGGAAATGATTTAGGACTCTATAAATAGAGGAATGTTCCTTCTAACTTAATCAGCATTCACAATGTAGTCTTAAAGGCTTTGAGAGTTTTGGTTAAGGGGGAGAACTTATGGGTCACAAGATTGATACATTATCACTTGTGTGAACCTCCCATGTATTCTGAGTGAATTGATTAAGGTTGTTTCTCTCTGTATTTTGTACTCTTATATTTATAGTGGATTGATCATCTCCTTTGTGGACGTAGGTCGACTGACCGAACCACGTTAAATCTTTGTGTCTTTTGGTATATTTCTCGTTGTCTTCTTACTCGTGATCTTTTAACATTTGCTTTGCTAGTTTCCGCATTTACACCTGCTTATTTTCGGTCCTAACAAGTGGTATTAGAGCTAGATTTAACGACGGAGTCAGGTTCAGTGGTTTGATAATCGATGATTGAATCAGGTTAGAAAGATGTGTTCAACTTGACGGGTGTAGTTCTAGTCGCAACCTTTTTGACAGTAATGAAGATTTTGTTGGAGAATTGTTTCAGAGAGGTTCTCTGTGTTGAGACATAAGTTTTGCAAAGAAGATTATGGAGAGGAGAAGCAAGTTGTTGAAGATTAAGTAAAGAAGGTGGACAAATTTATTTGTCAGAAATTCAGGCCAAGGGGAGATTTGTTGGATTTTATTTGCCCTAAATTTCTTACCATAAATAGGTTTCCTTTTAGGAAAAGGTTTTGGATTGACTAATTATTTTTCTGGTAGGAAATGGTTTAGGACTCTATAAATAGAGGAATGTTCCTTCAAACTTAATCAGCATTCACAATGTAGTCTTAAGGGCTTTGAGAGTTTTGGTTAAGGGGGAGAATTTATGGGTCACAAGATCGATACATTATCACTTGTGTGAACCTCCCATGTATTCTGAGTGAATTGGTTGAGGTTGTTTCTGTCTATATTTTGTACTCTCATATTTATAGTGGATTGCTCATCTCCTTTGTGGACGTAGGTCTACTGACCGAACCACGTAAATCTTTGTGTCTTTTGGTATATTTTTGTTTGTCTTCTTACTCATGATCTTTCGAGGTTTGCTTTGCTAGCTTCCGCATTTACACCTGCTTATATAAGACAGAGGTGACATTTATTTCTTTTGTTGTCTCTTATTACACCTCTAGAACCTTCAGTCTTGGTATTACAATCATATCATCCAACGACATTTAGTTTCCTTCTTTTGTTCATGGTATGTTTTGATTTTCAGCAGCAATAATGAAAAGGGACGGCGAAATAGGATGACCTTGTTTGATCCCCCAAGTGGAAGCTTAGTAAAAAAAGAAACATGTCTAATACCAATTATAATGATTGAATACCAAACATTAGAGATACTTGTCATACTCCAAGGATATTCCTAGACGCAATAGGAGACCCAGGATCACGAATGACTTCAAGCTAACGCTGAGTCTAGTATATATCAAGCATGTTGATAATATAACTAAGATAAGCACAAGCATAACTAATAAATGACTCAAAACTAAAGGACTGCAAATGAAAATATATCTGAATATCTAAAGGAGACAATTCCATAACACTTAACACTGACTCTAAGTTTGAACTTGCTACCATGTGTGAAAAAGCCTCTAACTGAAATGAGTTTTTGAGACATGCCCCCAAGCTAACTTTAATGAAATTGAAAATAAAGACTAAAACAAAAGGCATGTCTAGTGTCCTCGAAGTATGAGGGTTCACTACTAGGGAAATCTCATATACCTAATGAATTAGATGAAATCTACGGATAAATTCTTTGGATTTCGGAGTTGAACTTCGAAGAACACTTCTACTTGTTCTTGAAAGGAACTAGCGACTTCTTCTTTTCTTTTCGCTCTAAGTTGGGTGATTTTAAGAGAATGAGGGTTTTGGATAGGTTGTGACTAGATTATTAGGTTTAGACCGAGAAAAACTACATAGTTTTGACATTAAACGATGTAGTTTAAGTGTCTAACGCACAGGAAAAAAGACCAAAATGACCCTGATGTAGTTTATAAACAAGTCATCATGTTAATCACAACACTATATGCAATAGTGTGAAAAAAAATTGCTGTTTTTTAAAGATAATATGTAACTAATTCTAATTAATAAGCCTAGACTTATAGTGTTATCTTAAGCAACCAAATAACAAATTAATTGAATCCCAATAATTCGATTCAAAGGAGTAAGGTACATTATAAATAGGCCCATCCTATTAGCATAACTTAAACCCACAAATTAAGCTTGAAAAACAGCAAGAGAAAAAAAAACCTTTGAACAAGCAATGGCTTCTTCTTCTGCTAATAAGTGTCGTCCCTTGGCTAATTTTCACCCAACTGTTTGGGGATATCATTTCCTTTCTTATACTCATGTCAGTCTTTTTTTCTTTTTTTCCATGTTAAATGTTTTCAGACGTAACATAATATTTTATTAATTAACATATGATGAGTATTTTTTGCATGCAGGAAATTACTAACCAAGAAAAAGTTGAAGTTGATGAGTACAAAGAAACAATTAGAAAAATGCTGGTGGAAGCTCCTGAAGGTAGTGAACAAAAACTTGTGTTGATAGACGCGATGCAACGATT